AAGAAAATCCAAGTACATCTTGAATGATCATCAATAAAACTAACAAAATAACGAAATCCCAAGGTTGAACTGACTCTACTAGGACCCCATATATCAGAGTGAACTAAAGAAAAAATAGACTCTGCGTGACTCTCAATACTACGAGGATAGGAGGCTCGGGTATGTTTCCCGAGCTGACATGACTCACACTCTAATGTGGATAAACTAGACAAACCAGGCACCATCTTCTGAAGCTTGGATAAGCTTGGATGTCCTAAACGTTTGTGAATTAGGTCCGGAGGATCTGTAACTAGACATGCCTTGGAGGATTTTAGGGAGTTAAGGTAGTAAAGCCCTTCTGATTCAAGTCCTGTTCCAATCGTCTGCCCTGTACTGCGGTCCTGCATAATAAAAGAATCATCAATAAAATATATACCACAATGGAGGGCACGAGTCAAACGACTAACAGATGCAAGATTAAAAGGACAGCCAGGGACATAGAGAACGGAATCTAGAGTGACAGAGGGTAGGGGATTCGCTTGTCCAACTCCTTTTGCTTTGGTTTGAGACCCATTGGCTAAAGTAACAGTGGGAAGAGACTGTAAATACGCAATATTTGACAAAAGTGATTTATTACCAGAGATATGATCAGAAGCGGCTGAGTGTAAGAACTAGAAACATCTTCTTTCGTTGCTCTTGTTGTTTTTCAATACTGGCAGAAACTGGCATCAACGTCTCAAATTCTTCCATGACTGCCTGAACTTGTCCCAAGTAAGTAGACATATCTAATTCCTGTTTCTTCAAGCTTGTCATTCGCGATATTACATCATAGAAACGAGATATGTCATTAGTGTATAGACTACGAGCCTTTTCCCAAACTAAATAACATGTCTGGAATGGACGGAACAAGGGCATCAACTTGGAATCAATAGATCGCCACAGGATACTACATAACTGAGCATCGACCTTCTTAAGTTGTGAGGACAGTCTTCGAATGAATCTCCTACCACAGAGAAATCATCCATAAAGACCTCCATAATGTCCTCCACCATGTCTGTGAAGATGGCTAACATGCACCGTTGAAAAGTCGCTGGTGCATTGCAAAGCCCAAAAGGCATTCTCCGAAAGGCAAAGATGCCATACGGGCAGATGAAGGATGTTTTCTCTCTGTCTTCGGGGGCTATTGATATTTGATTGTACCCCGAATATCCATCCAAGAAACAGAAGTGCGATTGCCCGGCCAGCCTGTCCAACATTGATTGCCTGGTGAGGATTGAGAGTAAAAAG